TGTTCCCTCGCTGACCCCATTTAGCGCACAGAATAAGAAAGAATGCGCCCGCGAGGGATGATATTGTGCATTTTGCCGCTGCGGGCTCCGTCTCCACTTGATACAGTCAACGGGCCGAGACCATCAAACTCCAATGTATGACTCGCTGACCGGCGGCTGAATTCAATGGATCGGAAGATCGAGAGCCGCATGGTGATAGACAGGGCCATATCGGTTTTGGGGACATGACTGGAGACGCCGGAGCGGGGCCGGTGCGACAAAAGGAGGTCGGGCGCCCGAGACTGAGAATGGTCATGGGCAATTTCATAGATTCCAGGTGGTTAGATCTGGCCCAGGGATACCGAAAATGTTCTTCGTCGTCAACGAGAAAGCTCGGGAGGGCGCCGGGCGGAACGCCACAGACAAGACCCAATTTCCAAGCTTAGCGGACGGGAATGCACGCTTATTGAGATTTAGCGACGTTGGGTTTTGTTTTTTTTTTTCCTTCCTTCGTCGGACCTATTGATTGGTCCCTTGTTTGAGGCGGTCTCCCTCGTTGGATTGCGGAGAAGGTGAGACATTGCCAACTGATGAGTTCCTGACCGAGGTGATCCATTCCTAACCTCCTGACTAAACTCAACACGAACGACGAGGAACGAGACACGATAGCGGAAGAATGGAAAGAACGAGACACGGAGACTGAGTTTAGTGGCGCTTGCTGTAGGAAACTCTGTGTTGGCTCAAGGCATGCAAACTCATCTTGTCACTCAGGAGACAATGCCCCATAGCAAGGGAGAGAGGTATGGCCCATGGGCAGAGCTACCAGAGACGCCAGAGACACGGTCTACGATGAGATGAATCTTTGCCTGACATGAGGGAAGGAAAGGGAGTTTCCAGAACGTATAAGAAAGACAAGATTCTCCGGCTTCTGTCCAACTTTCCTTTCCCTCCTCACCCTCATCATCATTACACTCCGCATCCTTAGCTCCTCTCTTCCTCTCTCTTTACCTCGTTTCACTCGTTTACGACCCGAGGTCTAGTCATTCTTTTACTTGCTTTCGTCACTCGCTTAGTCATGCGTCGCACGGCTCTCGTCGCCCTCATGGGCCAGGTGGCTATGGGACAGTTGTTCCCCAACACCACCACGACCTCCTCCACTCGCAGCTCGTCGCTCACCACCATCCAGACCACCTCAACTGGCCAGACGACAATCAGCAGTCTGACCACCTCCACTGGCTCGGACACCACTGTGACGACTGAGGTCCCCATCACGACTTCCGATGAGGTCACGACCATTGACATCACCACCAGCTCTGAGGGTCCCACCAGCACCGATGAGTCGACCACCGCCACTGGCACCGAGACCAGCTCGACTTCGTCGTCCGCCACTGGCACCGAGACCAGCTCGACCTCGTCGTCTGCCACCCCGTCTGCCACGGTCATCCCCAACCCCAGCAACGTTGGCAACTTCTCTCTGCTTGGCTGCTTCGGCTCCACCACTGGTTTCCCTACCTTCGACCTGGTCCTGTCTGCCTCTTCCATGACCCTCGAGCTTTGCGTCGCTTCCTGCCCCGCTGGAAAGCGCTACGCCGGTCTGTTCGGCTCTGACTGCTTCTGCGGTGACATCGTCAGCGATGCCACTGCCACCCGTGTCTCTGAGGACAGATGCAACATCGCTTGCCCCGGCAACTCTGGCGAGCGCTGTGGTGGCCGCAACACCAGCGGATCCCTGAAGCGTCAGCTCATCTCTGCCGAGATCTTGTTGACCATCTACATCCGCGTTGATGGCGGTATCGATGTCACCACCACTGCCACCGTCACCACCACCTTCACTGCCACCACCACTGCCACCATCGACGGTACCGCTTCCACCGGCGTCACCACTGTCACCACCACCTACTGCCCTCTGTGCCAGGACTGCCAGGGTCCCTTCTGCTACAAGCCCACTCCCAACCCGTGCTCCAACGGCAAGTGCTTCGGCGTTCCCTGCTACGGTGATGACTGCTACAAGAAGATCGTTGCCTACGGTGACTACTGCGGTTTCGACTACCCCTGCTACGGTGCCGACTGCCAGCGCCGTCTCGTCTGGGTTGATGGCACATGGCACCCTGAGGTCTGCTCCGGATACGACTGCGGCCGCAAGATCAAGTGTGTCTCCGGCAAGTGCGAGTATGTCATCAAGGGATCCGACTTCGACTCCGAGAAGATTGTCTGCTACGGCAACGTCTGCAAGGTCGAGACCTGCTCCGGTGATGAGTGCAACAAGAAGTACGTCTGCAAGGACAACTCCTGCGTCTTCGAGTCCTGCCCGTACGCCGATGCCAACAAGAAGTACGAGTACAAGAACGACAAGTACATCGAGGTCAAGGGCTGCAACGGCTCCTGCCCCGTTCCCCAGCCTCCTTGCTCCGGCGACTCCTGCAAGATTGTTATCCCCGTTCCTCCCGTCACCACTGTCGGTTGCGACGGTACCACCTGCAGCACCATCGTCATCCCCCAGCCTCCCGTCACCAAGACTCCCTACGTCCCGGCCACCGAGACCAAGCCCGCCGCCAACCCCCCTGCCACCGGCGCTCCCCCGGCTGGCGCTCCCCCGGCTGGTGCTCCCCCGGCTGGCGCTCCCCCCGCCGGCACCCCTCCCGCTGGAGCTCCTCCCGCTGGTGCTCCCCCCGCTGGTACCCCTCCTGCCGGTGCTCCTCCTGCTGGCACTCCTCCTGCCGGTGCTCCCCCTGCTGGCTCTCCCCCTGCCGGTGCCCCTCCCGCTGGAGCTCCTCCTGCTGGAACTCCCCCGGCCAACTCTGCTGCTCCCCCCGCGGGCGGCAACCCCACCGGCACTGCCACCGCCAGGCCCCCTGTCGTCACGGCTGGCACCAGCAAGTTCGCTGCCAGCTTCGGCGCTCTTGCCTTCAGCGTTCTTGCTGCCGCTGTCCTTCTGTAAGGGACTTGTCTGAGCACGGATGGATATTCTCTTCTCTTGACTCTGCTATGGGTCTGATAATGGTTATCAGTGGTGGTTTGTGGTGGGGGTAGTGGTTTTCTTCGATAGTGGCCTAGCGGTTTTTGGGAGCATCTTCGGATCTCTCTGCTCGGCTATGGATGGACCTTTGACAAACGATTTGACGATATAGATAATAAAGCGTGTGTTTCGCCACATAAAATACTTTGCCCCCTCTGTGACTTTTCCTCATGCCTGGGACTCCAGTGGCAATTGACCGGACCCCTCATTCATCTCACTCCAGACTGTCATCGAGCAACAAGCATTATCTTGAAACTGACCCGAATCTTATCACCTGAGTCCCGAGTCCTTTCAGTTGAAAATGTTGCTGCGTAGTAGATGTGTAAGTCGCTTGTCTACCAATTTACATGTTCGGGCTCGTCAGTAGCCGGCTTCGGCACTGGGTCCACTTCCGGGAACAACCTCCGGGGCCCACACGGGCCCGGGTGTCCAGTTGGTAACTCGGGGTTCGGGGATCGATTCGGCAAGGAAATGGCAAGACCAGGACTTCACGTTCATTGACGGCATAGCTCCGGATGCTACCACGTCAGACTCTGGGATTGGCATGTTCGATCGTGCTCATGCAGGTGAGATGCTGCTCTCAAGATTTGTGTCTGCATCGGTCGGCGCTACAAGCGTACATGGCCATTTATCCATTTTATGTACAGACACCAGTAACTTATATATAATCCTCAACACTGCAAAGCATCAAGGCAAAGAGATGTAGGCGTCGGCGTCATTCTTCCGGTCAAACGTCGCATCCGCCCCCCCTTTGCACGTTTCAGCACGTGGGAGGTCCAGGCGGGCGCTGCAACGGCGTTCCAAGGTTGAGATCGGGCACAGATGGTCCGTACTCACTCGATTCCTCTGGAGACGCTCAGGTAATAAGTACCTTGGGTAAATCCAATGGAAGCAATAGGAAGCGGCAGATGCAGAACGCTATTCAAAGGGGCTTCGTTTGACAAGAGTATGCTACCAAGACTTGGCAGACTGACAGGTGAACAGGTGGCTAGTTGGTGGATTACCTTGAGCCTTCAATGAGTTGTCATCAATGATGAAGCTGATGGAGGCTGGGAACTTGGAAGAGCTGACAGCGAAGAGCTGACTACGTCTCTGGTTGGTTGCAGTCCCAAACATCCCCCTTCTCCGTTTCCAACGAAAGCTTGTCTCAGTGCGCGTTCCCCCTCAGCTGGTCACGGTCTGCAACCAAAACGACCGTCAGGCCAAGAAACCACAACGCGGGAAGAGGCCACAGAACGAACCGGTACTGCAGTGATCGCACCGCATCTCGGATGATCATGCCTGCATATCGCAAAGCCAATTCCTTGCTGTGCCTGTGCCTGTCTGTCTGCCTTCCTTTTCGAATCCTGCCTGGTTCTTCTGTCACATACCCTTCAGCCTGACTCTTCGTAACCGCTCAGCGCATTTCTGTGAGCTAAGCCGTGAGCACTGAAGCTGGTGAGTTCCATCCATAACCGATAAACATGTTCTGTGCCTGAGAGCGTGCGAGCAAGCTTTTCCGAAGACGACCATTGACCACCACATCACATCGGCTACACACCGACACCACCTTACGACGTGACTGAACATTGACCTTTCCAGACGCGGCCGTGGCCCATGGATGAACTTTAACTTGACCAACATGTCCTCCTCTTCCCCCGCGTCTCCCACCCGCACTACTACCGCCTCTCCTCCCCATCATCCTTTCACCACCCGCTTCTCGCTCTCTAGCTCTTTTCCCCCCTCGACTTACCCAGAGGAACCCCACTTCTCACAACCAGCCTCACAACAGCCATCGGCGGCTGAAGAACAGCTCCTTAGCAGCGACATTGGCATTCATCATCTGGATTGTCAACAAGTTACTCAAAGGCAAAGCCTTACTCCATCACCGGCGAAGCTATTACGCTTTATCGCCGCTCTCACAGCACCAAAAGAGGGCCATCATTCGCGGTTCGGGAATACGAGGGAACGCCGAAGGGAGGACGCTTCAACCGGGACGAGGGCTCATCGCCCGACTCACCCCACCATGGCGCCCGACGCAAACAGCAACTTGGACGGAGTCACATCCCAGCTCCGGGCCAAGGACCAGAACCAGAACGGCGATCAGCAGCAGCAAGTCAAAAAGAAATGGAAGAAAATTTGGCTGAAGGGCCTCTCTGTTCGTATCCGGCCTCGCAAGGATTCGCCGCGAGCAGCAGCCGCAGTAGCAACATCAGCAGCACCACTTCCACCACCAAATGGAGGGGGAGAGACGGACCAAAGCGTTGAACGAGGCACCCAAACCGCAACACGAAATCACAACCACAATGTTCGCGGTAGCCAGAGTCGCATACCACGGCATTCAGCAACGCTTGCGCACCCGAGCGAGTCAGATGCCGTAACAGACTCCGGCCTCTCGTCCTCAACCGCTGCTACCTCCGCCTCGCACTCGCCCGCGACATCAACCACCGCTCAGACCACCACCGTCCCCTCGAGCTCGTCGTCATCCTCGTCGACTTCGCTCAGTGTGAGTGTCGGTGCCTCCATCGGAACCTTCCCGTCGTCCTCCGCGCCGTGTCCCACTTGCGGACAGCGCCGCCATGTTGACCTCCATCGGCCCCCGACGCCGGTCAAGCCCGAGGACCGGTTCCAGTTCCGGTCCGGGGTCCCGTATGGTCCTTGGACAATCACACACCCTCCTCCTGGTCCACCGCCGACAGCTGCCCCATCGCAGATCTCCTTTGAGCTTCCTGTTACCCAGCAAGTGGCACCCTGCTGCTCTGCCGAGACCCCCGGACCCCTCACTGCATTCCATCCCTTCGCCCGCCTACCGCCGGAGCTTCGGTCCAAGATCCTACGCTTCTATCTCGAACGGCCGCGCATCGTAGAAATTCGATGTATGAACGACTTGAAAAAGATCCATTTTGCGCCAAACGCACTGGGAAACCTCGCCTCCAACATTGCATGGAGCGCAGACAACACCCTCCCGGCCTTGATGTGGGTGAATAGGGAATGCCGCGCTGAGACACGCGCATTCTACCGCGTTCAGCTGCCGATGCACCCAACCAACAAGATCGCCTGGCCCGTCATCATCAATCCGGACTTTGACACCGTCATCTTCACGTTCCCCTGGAGCAGTGAGATACCCCTCGACATCTTTCTGAGCGACTGCCTCGCGTTCGATCCGCTCAGCGTAGGGATCCGGCACTTCGGCACCCGCGACAGAGGCGGGCCGGAGACGTGGGACTTGACGCCTGTTCCGGGGTGTGCGCCGCTTGCAGAGAGCTTGGCGAACTTGGAATCCTACACGGAAGCGATCCAGCTGATGGACGATCGCGCGGCGGCCCGGTTCCCGGTGTGGATGATTCATGAGGGCTATCTCACCAGCGGCATCCCTGCCAAGAACGCATTCTACCACGACGTCCCGCGGCTGCTCTTGAGCAATGACTACGAGCCCCCCGATGCGATCAACCAGCGCACGGCGCTGGAAGCGTTACGGACACAGCTCGGGGATTACCTACCCAAGAACGTGGCCGACAACCTGGTCATGCAGAGAATGTTTTACCGCAAGTATTTCCGGCATTTGCGGATGAAGTGCACAAAGACGGACCTTGCTGGGCTGGGGATGGTGAGGCAGATACCCGGTTGCGAGACGGAGGAGTTCTTTTTGAGTAACGGCCGTGAGGTTGCCGGACCGCGGAAGAAGAGGAGATCGGTGCTCGATGTGAGGCCTAGTAGTAGCTGGCATTTATGGGATGACGACTGAGTCGACGAGTGGTGAGTGAGAGAGGCCGGGTTGTCTCTTTAGACAGGAGCGTTGAAAGAGGACGAGAGCCATGTCAAAAGTATGTGTGCTGCAACAGAAAGATGCGGCAAAGAGAAGGACTGTCAAAATACCAGAAGAGATGAGTTTAGAGATTCGAAAACATATGTCGCAATACATATGCGTGTATTCCTTCACCAAGCGTAAGAAGGAAGACCTTCTGAATCGGCCAATTTGGTATGAAATTCAAAGCCTGCCTCCTGAAGCAAGCTTGGGTATAATGAGAGTCAAGGCCGCCCCGTTTTCCGCAGCACTATAATCGTCAGGAGTATCTCCGCTGTTGTCATGTCCGTCATGTCAGAATACATATGTTCTTCATGCAGTCTGGGTGCATCCCAAACCAAACTCCTGCCGGTGATCCCGTCCTATGTTCCGCAATTTTGCCCATCCACTAAGCCATGCGCCGGTGCGTTATACAAAATACAATTTGAGGATACAAGAACGACATCAGAAAGACTGAGCACAGCTCAAAGCCTCTCAAGCTCGTCTAAACGTAAGCCGGGCAGCTATGCAAACGCGCCCTTCTCGTCTACCATTGTTGGCTGGGATATCTTACCCTGCATGACACCGCCTCTCTCCGCGCCTCTTTCAGCTGCATCGGTCTTATCGCCGCCTTTCAGGGCCTTCTTATGCTTCAAAAAGTCCCGAATCGTAAGCGCAATGTCAAGTCCCGAGACTGTGGACCCGAGGACGAAGACCGTAGACAGACTGAATCCGATGACCAGCGCCAAATCAAAAGGAACAACTTGCGTAAAGCACAGAGCCACGGAGCTGAGGTCGGCGAATCCGGTGATGACAGAGGCGAATGAGAGAATCAGGAAGAGCTGGTTGATCATGACGCGGATGTTGGGAAGGCTGAGGAGGGGCGCTGGTGGCGTAGGGGCGGAGCGGGAGGTGTTTGGGAGTTGAGGCGGGGCGCGGGCCTTGATGGCAAGGTGCATCAATAAGGCTGCCAGACCAACTAGGGTCGTGAAGAGGCTTATGATCTGTTGAGATGTGATTTAGCAAACGATTATCCCAAAGCTGAGATGGTCGGGGGAAAGACTTACACCGTGAGCAGTGCGAAAGTGAGAAGACTTCGCGGTCACGAGTATGCCAAAGATGAGAACCACAACCACTGAAGGGCCCATAACGAATAGCCACATAATGTTGTTCCATTTTTCGATCTTTTGCAGAATTGGAGGGGCGTTGATGCGGAGGAGGAGGTTGCGCATATGCTCCAGCCCGATGGCCAAAGGAAGGATATTGATGTGAGCGATTATGGCGAAGAGGACTAGTGAGATGTGAATGTCAGTTATGTGACAGGTGGTTACACGGGCAGAGCCAGACTTACTGTGAAGAACCAAGAAGGCGATCCAGCCTGGGAGCTTAAATCCGTTGACTTCAATGCCATTCGCAGTATTGATAATCGAGTGTCCAAGAGAGTCTCGGATCACCTGTCCGTCAATAGCGTACGAATGCCCCTCATTGGAGATCTTAATGATTCCAGTCGGAATCACTTGCTTTGCAGTCTTCGTAACGTTGCCATTGTTGAAGGAATCCAGTGCGATGGTCTTGCTACGAATCAGTCCGAAGCCAATGAGGCCCAAGCCGCCCACGCCCTGGCAGGTAAGAGCGTTGACACCAGCTTGAGCAGCCATCGAAACGGTCTGCGCGTTGATCACGACGGACAGGTTGAGTCCTTCAGTGGCGTTGACTGAGACTACTGGCGGGGGATCCTGTCTCGAGACCAGTTCGACATCGCGGCGTTGGGCGGGTGTGCGAGCAGCCGGGCCCGCCGGCGCATTCGCTGCAGGCTGTGTGTTTCCTCGCGGCTTGCTAGCCAGTCCATACGCAACGAGAACACCTTGACCACCAATTCCGACTCCGAACCCGCTGGCAGCGCCGCCGAGCGAGTCGTCGAACTGGAGCTTGGCATCGGGCATCGCGCCGGTGGGCATGGTGGCGTTGCCCTCGAAGAGAGACTGCACCCCGCCCATGCCCTGGATCGCATCGCCCGCGCCCTGAAGGAACCCACGAGCGAAGCCCTGCGCGACTTTGCTGACCTGGATGTCCATGCCGTTGAACTTAATGGTCGCCGGAATCCCTCCACCGTTCTGGTTCATGTTCATCGATCCGCCTACCTTGTTGAGCAGCTCGGTCGCCGTACCGTTCTGAAGGAAGCTGCTCGTCAGACCCTTGGCGAACGTCTGCGAGATACCGCCAAAGTCGATCTGGTCGTCGGGCATCTGCTGCATCGGTACCGCGGAGTCGGGCTGTAGCCCCAATCCGACCGTCGCTCCCTGACCCAGGCCTTTTCCAAAGCCCGAAGCCGCGGCCGGGAGGATACGCATGATTTGTTTGGTTGTGTTGGGGTTATTGGCCGAGTTGAAGAGCTGGTTGATGTCGAGGTTAGCCGTCACGGTCTTCGTCAGACCGAATCCAAAGGTGCCAATGACGTTTGGGATGGACGAGTCGTTTACGGGCTCGAGGTTCGCGGCGTTGGCGTTGAGCTTCAGGCCTGCGACAGTGCCGTTTCCGAGACCTGTTGCGAGAGACAGGGCGATGGGCTGTAGCTGGTTTGTGAGGTTGCCGCCTAGGCTGTTGAAGTCAATGGCGCCGATGAGGGTGGAAGTAAGACCCACGCCTAGGTTCTGGATGGCTGGGTTAAGACCAGTGGCTTCCATCCTGTTGTCTGCCGCAACCTTTGCTGCCACTTCCATCGTCTTTGCTTGTGTGGACAGGTTGAGCCCCTGAGCCGCTCCGGCTCCGACACCAATGCCGAGGAACATGCCTGGACCGTTGAGGTTGGCGACAAGTTGATTTCCGACGTTGCTGAGCCCGTCTTTCAGGGGTTGGAGGAGGCCACTGAGTATACCGGCTGACATCCCACCTCCATCGGCACCGCCGCCACCTGGAGTTGGGAGACCAGGGAGGCCGAGGGGGCCGGTGCCGCCTCCGGGGGCGCCGCCTGGAGAACCTCCTGGTGCCCCGGGGAGTGGAAGGTTGAACGGGCTAGGAAGTCCACCGCCTCCTCCTCCACTACCACCATCGGCGCTACCTCCAGAGACTGCCGCTCCAAAGAGTTCTCCGAGACTTGGAAGCTGTCGTTTGTGGAGTTGACTCGAGCTTTTTTCGTCATCTTTCAACCCTTCGAGGCTCCTCCTGATGTGCTTCTTGTACTCTTGCAATGCTTCCCTTGTCTCCTGGAGTTCAGGTGACTCATAGCGGGTGGCTAGTTGGTCTGTGAGATCAAAAGTATAATCGACCATGGACATTAATGTCCTTCTTAGCCTTGGGTCGTTGCCGATGGCTTCGACGGTGTCTGGGGTTACAATTGCGTCGATGGCTTGGCCCCAGGAACCCAGGTCTCGTCTTGCTATCGTTTGGCTGCTGAGGCTAGGTTCTTGGTGGAAGTAGTCTTTGATCTCTCTCCCGACGCTGAAGATGGAGAATACCATCAAGAACCCGATGCAAAAGGTTGTCAGTCTCTGATGCCTTGGGGCTGGTGGAGATGGAGGAGCGTGGGGTCTCTCCGTAACATCTTCAGGTGATGATATTTTGTCGTACATGTCCATGATGATGGGAAGTAATGGACTTTGCTTGACAGTCGTAAAAAGGAATTCACCGTGACATTAATAGAAATAGAATGGGGTATCAAAGGCAACCAACTAGAAAGGAAAGGGCTGCCAGCAGTCGAGTACGAAGGAAACGAAGATGTGTTTCTTGAACCAGCACCTGGTGAGATGATGACTAGATGGATGAAAAAGCCAAGAACATCTAGTAGAAACATTCAGAGGCGGATGGGGACGTATGTATACAAGAAGCTCTGATAGTCATGGTCCCCTCGAGCCTAAAACATGGAGCGTCGATCTCTCTTCAGGGTAAGTCGAGATACCACTTGCCATATGCGGCGGGATTCCGCTCCACTCAGACCCTGAGATGGTCCGCACCGGGATGGACTGGAGTGGAACATGGAAAGGTGGGAAGCCCTTGCGAGGATCCCATACATGTCTAGCCGGGCCCGAATCATTGAAGGGAGTGGCAGGTTTGCGGCCACGGCCCCGGGTCTCGCGACGTCAGTCAGGCCTTTTCCTTCACGCATCGTCCAAGTAGCAGAGTCATCTTTAGAACTTCCAGTCAGCATCGGGGAGAAGCTGGGGTATAGCCTACAGCCGCGAGAGTTCTGTCATTTACAGGCTTAAGAGCGCAGAGGTCGAAGTCAAGAGCGTTTCTGCAAAGTTACAGTAAACCATAGACTTGTGTCAAACGAAGTCAAAAGAGACTCGTCTTCAATTAATTGGGCCGACCTCGAGGGCTATGTCGTTGTAACATGGTTTCGACGCGTCCGAGTACTGGCAAGGGCCGCGTGGAAGATATTGAAGCTTGAACAGAGTAGTCCGGCGATGCGAACTGGAGAGGGAATGCGTATACGAGATACGGGCTCAATAAGGCAAGTCGTTCATTAGGATACTTGGTCCTAGTAAGTGGACGCTGCAGTCAGTAACGTGGCGCTAGGAAGGGCAAAAAGGGGATGAGCATAGTTTGGGGTGGGAGCCACAGACGATGGAGAAGCAGGTTGTCAGTTGAAGATGCTGGTGTTTGCAAGTTTCAGACGGTTGTGTGAAGTTGCAAAGACTCTGCGGTGATTGGCTCATCGCCATGCCCATCATCCGTAGACTGTAGCTGTAGCCCGGCTGAGAGTACCCAATGGCGATTAAGGCTGTTTGCAATCGTTCCAAGACGACCAAAGAAGAGGATACAAGCCTGGACAAGGGACCCTGGTAGCACATCATAACGGTTCCCGCCATGGCGATGAGGATAGTGCCGGGCGGACACATGCTTGTGTGTCGAGTCTGTGAGTGCTTGATGGGATCTGACACAATCTGACAGGGGAAACCAGCAGACACAACTCATGAAGCAACAAGGTATGACTTGGGCATTGGCGGGTCACAGCGTCATTCAGGCGCTAAGATCCAACTGCCAGACATGTCAGTCGGGCCTCTTCCTGGTTGCTCCCAGCTCATAGTAGAATATCTACCATCACTTCTCGCAAACTGCCCGCAAACCATTTCCAAAAACGGTAACTCCCTGCAGAGGGGTCTTTTGCTACAAAAGACGGAGCCGAGTACGGTGCCTCTAGAGGAAGTTTAGTCAGCCAGTTGACCGCAGAGGTTCCCTTCTAGAACGAGGTGGCACTGATTATTAACTCATCGACAACTCCCACCATCCCCGTCTCTTCAACTCAAAAAGGGGAACCACCTCATCGTGTCCGCGTTCGTATTGTGAAGCCCAAACGCATCACGCATTTCACTGTCGTGGAACCTTCTCCAACTGTCAGACAAACGTCGTCCCTTATTTCCACATCCAGTGCCTCTGCCTCCCACCCCACACTCGAGGCTACACCACGACACAGAGACTGAGGCTGTACGCCGGTACGGGGACGCTCATTCTCATCTTGATACAGTTGATCATATCGCCCATCATCTTCCATTTCGCACTGCAGCACATTACCTTAGCTCAGAGTCGTCGGAGCTACGCTAGCGTTGTCCCCCGAACTTTTCAGAAACCTAGCGCCTGTCTGACACTTTGATCCTGCGGACCCAATAAGGCCGACCCTCAACGCCCTTGACGCTGGCAGTCTATCAAACTCAACGGCGTCTGCCCCGTCACATCAGGCGATGGATTTACCAGTTCGGTCAACATCACGCCAGCCTCCGCCTCCCCAGGCTGAAGACGAGCATGACGCCGACGTGTTTGAGGCCGAGCACCAAGATGGGGCCCTCGAAACCACGGACATCCATGCTCCGCCCGCCGTCCGGAAAACGCCCCCGACACCCTGGAGAAATTTAGAGGCGGGTGAAGGTTTCGACCTGCGGACCTGGGTTGCCGCTTCGGGAAGCGAGCCGAAGACGACCACGATGACCACAACTGTGGATACAGCATCGCCAATACCCACCAGTAGCCGCAGCAGCAACAGCTACGATTACGACCAAGATGCAGTCTTTCATTGCTTCCCTGACTTGCCCTACGAGCTACGGCGCAAGATCTGGCGCATGCACCTGGAACGGCCACGCATCGTCGTGGTTAGAGGCGTACCAGACGGCTCGGGCGTCCAGGCCTCCGGCAACGACCTGGGCAACATGGCGTGCAACGCAAACTGGTACTGCGAGAACAGGAGCCCGGCGCTCTTTCGCGTGTGCGACGAGTCACGCCGCGAAGCCGTGTCCTTCTTCAGGATCCGGTTGCCGATGAGGTCATTGGCGCCCGACAGCCACGGGTTCCCGGATCTGAAGCATAGAAACCCGGCGTGGGACCGGATCTACATCAACCCTGACTGGGACCTCGTGCTCTACCAGGGCGCCACCAGGTCTCTCACTATGCCCATCCTTGCCAGCGACCTGCTCGCCCACGACCCATTGGGTAGAGGAGTCGCGCACTACGGATCGAATGACTGGCCCCAGAGCATCTGGCAGGTTGATCCAGATCCTGGGTTTGGCATGGCTACCTTGAATGAATCTTTTGCCTGCCTCAAAACCTTTGTCCTCTGCACGAGATCCACGTCTGAGATAACCCGTCCACTGGGCGAGGGCTATGTACACGCTGTGGCCGGCGATGTTGGTCTCGCTGGCTTATGTGACACTGGTTCCCACGCGTTTGACTGGCATCGTGCCCCATCCGGAATGGCTGCAAAGACCCCAAACAACAGTATGGTTCGAAAGGCGCTGGTCTTTGGCAAAGGCGTCGACCAATCAGCTGTGAATAACCTCGTCACGATGGAAATGACTACCCGTATCCGCGATAAGGACCTCGCCTGGGCCCTCCACTCGACGACCGACGGATGGGTCATTAGGCTCGCCTGGCAACCCCCGGACTGCGCCATATCCCGTGTCATGCACCTGACCACGGGTCCCATTAAGGAACCTAAAGTAAGTTGAGTGGCAAAGCGTCTTCCACATTGGGATGTACTTCTATATTCGTTCATCTCTGATCCTTTTGTTACATTTGTTGTGCGCGGTCCGGCGACAGCACAGCGTCATGACTGCGGGAAAACGAGGAAGATATTGCTTCCGCTACCTCTCTTGCGCCGCAGCTGGGATTGATGTCCTTTTTGTCAAATGTTTTACACCTATGATACAACAGACGTCTCTCTTCTAGCGACTTTACCGATTCGCCGAGAGCGGTCTCAATATTCTGTCCCTGATAACTCTACCTGCCACCTCGGCGCCGTGCTGCAGGGTGATGGCTCCGACGATAGCAAAGACTGCCGAGTTGAGAACAATTTGCTGGCCAGAACCAGAAAGGTTTTCGGGCTGGAGGCGACATTATTAGAAAACAGAGCCAGAAGAGGGTGTCATCGCCTCCTGAGGGGGGCCCGATGAGACGGACGAAGGGAGTTATGAGTTTTGGGCTTACCTTTGCCGGCTTCCATCGCAAAACTTTGTCGAGACCGGCAGCGAGCGCCAGCGCCTCGACCTTTTCTTTCGTTACGACCTTTTGGGGCTGCTGGGCGTTGAGGTTATCGACTCTCGTGAGAGCCGGGTGCTCAAAGGGTGTTCGCTGATACAGTTTTTCGGGAACGATTGCCTTCTTCAAGGGGTCGGTCCCCGACAGTATGCGGTTCGTGGTCTCGAGAATAACCGCCTGTCTACCTGTAATACGTTGCCCAATGGCTCGAGTCAGCTTCTTGTGCCTTTTTTTTTTCCCCCGCATGTAATTGTCGCAAGTGAAGCTTGGTTGGGAGCAAAGTCGTGTGTCCTTACCCAAGTATGCCAGCTTGTCATTGAACCCCCGGCGACCCTGGTCGAAACTCTTGTGCGTGACCGCCAGCCACTTGGTCTCATCCGGCAGCATCTTGTCTCCATCTCTGCCCAAAAGCTTCACGTACATCTGATCCAGCTTCTTGGGATCCTCGTTGACCTTCCAAACACTGCGCGCCGGGTTCTTGGTGATGTGAGGTGAGAAGGGCGCCTTCATGCCCTCGGGGGTGTATGACCATCTCGGGCGCTGTCTGATCTCGTCGGGCCGCTCAGCCTCTTCGGTTTTCCGTGACAATTGGTCGAATTTGCTCTCCGCCTCGGCATCCTTTCGGGAGCTGGTCGTCGCAAAGGATCGGGAGAGGCATTGGATAGGAGAGACGACTCGTGAGTTTGCCGCCGATTGGCAATGCCTCGCGGCATGCCTCGTGAGGCTATATGCTGACCGGGAGCCGTTGGTTGCCATTGGGGGCGGTCGGCGAGGGAGGGACGGCGGTATGGTGCGGAATTTGGTGTGGGCGTACCGTCGTATAGCCAGAGCTCCTGATGCTGGGAACTTTTTCGCGATGGGCGCTCGGAACAATTTCTCGACGTCACGTGGCATCGCGCGGAAGGCGGATCATGCAGCGACCGGAGCTAGTCTTGATGAGACCTAGTTGCCTTTCGAGTTGAGCACGGCCCCCACACATGGCTGGGATGAGTACGTACTCTGTGGCTCAATTGTCGCAGCTTCCTTTCAATTAAACCCAACGCGTTTCTCCACTTATTCCTGACACGCATGTGAAGAGCTGCGACGCGTCCCTCAAAGAAAGGGAAGGGACGGCTCCTGCAGCTTGCTCAGCCTGCTTGACCAACCCCTCAAGTCCAATTCCTTTCAGCCTTCTCGTCAATTGACAACCATGACATGACAATCTCTTCGGGAGAATCAATTCTCAACTGAAAAGCTTCCATCTCAAGCACCATGGCGACTCCAAGCCGAACCAAGACCACCTCCCAGAGCAGTGCACTTCTCCTCGAGAAACTGTCGGCTGTTCTGCCCAAGGGCTACCGCTTTGGCATCTACCACCTCTCAACTCCTCCGACCAAGACGGACGCCCTCTACTCTGCACCCCCCGAAGAACGCGAAGACAAGACCTTTTGCGAGAAGCATTTCCTTGCAATATCCATCGATATTTCCTCAAGCACTACCGACGCTGCGCTAGAAGCAAAGGAGACTGCCTCGAAGCAAGTTCTTGTCCTCGCGCTAGAGGTTTACATCTACACGACTGCATACTCCAGCACTTTCTTCGTCGCCAAGGCCGATTCAACTGGCTACCTGAAGCTTCTCAACCTTCCCAAAGGCACCTTGTCGCCAATCAAGGAGATTAGCAGTGCCTTTGCCTCGTACCTGGTCGAGCAGCGCAGGCGCAAGGGCATCCAATCCATCGTCAGTCTCTTCGCCCGGGCTCAAGATCAATATCTCTTCCCTGGGTCCGTCGAGTACAGTGGCAAGCATGTGCTCGATGACAGAGGACTAGTGAAGTGGTGGTGCAAAGTCCTGGACCCTCTCTTGGAAAACCCTCCCGTGGGAAAGGGAGCTCCATGGGGTACTGTCAAAGGCTACCTCGTCATCCCGGGACTCGATAATTACGAAACCAAGGCATTCCTGCCCAAGACCCCACAGAGCGCGACAAATTGGGTCCTGGGTCACGCTCTCGAGAAGATCTCGCATTACACCAAGGAATACGATTGGGTACCCGCACGATGCCTTATCCCCCGTTTCCCAGACGATCCGAAATCCCGATTCCGAGACGAGCTAGATGAAGAAGCGGGCAAGTCGAAGCAAATCAAGACCACTGGACAATGGAAGAGCGTAAAGAGCTTGGATACCTTCTGGGAAATGATGGCATACAGACAAGAATGTTCCAGCGGGCGGCTCACGGGCTTCATCTGGATTGTCTTTGATGAGGAGGCCGAGCAAGTGCAGACTGACAGTGCCTCTGCAAATCTCCCAACACCGAACCCTTCTTTCGATACGTCCAACCCGCCCGTCACGCCTAGCAAGCAGAAGACAGTACGGCCCGTCACGCCCATGTCCACACCTCGAAAGCTGTTCCCCGTGTCACCTTCTGGCACACCGACTAAGACGAAGACTAAGCCAGAGAAGCCAGAGAGCAAAAACAAACATAAGAAGAACAAATCTCAGTTGACGGGAGTCGTGAAGCCAAGACAGCCACGCATCAAGACTCAACAGCGTAACTACCTGCTAGACAAGCCAATCTCGACTGCCTATTACTACTGGCCTGCTGAGGGTAGGGGCCGCAAGATTGTCGATGAGAACGATTACAAGAGAGTCAATGAGCTCCTTCTACGCCTAGACTTTGCCAAACCAGAGATCGCAGTTAGCGGTACGCGGCGATGGATTAGCGAGGTCGGCATGGGAGACAACTGGGGCATGCAGGTTGTGGGCAGGAAGGAGACTCTACCGCCAGCGTCAAATGGCTTTTCGGCGAACGCCGTGAATGTCATCTCGGGCCTTATTAAGCGCAAGCGTCCGGAGGACTCTGCGACTCCTACTTTGGATGAGCCGGCGACCAAGGTTAATGTCCTCAGTACGGGGCTCGTCCGAAAGAAGTCCAAAGACGAATCCGCGGCCGCAGCGGCGAACGGTGGGGAAACTCCGCAAGTCAACGTATTGGGAGCCGGCCTCGTCCGCAAGAAGCGTGACGTATGACTTCGAGGGTCAAGGAATCGGACATCTTAGGAGTACTAGCAAGGCGTTGGATTAGGAATACCAGGTAACAGGATGGTTTGTGTTCACCTACGGATACTGGGATAGGGTTTGGGAAAGCCCGATGAGGACGGGGCATCAAGGGCATATTATTACGTTACTCCAAATTGATCAAAATGCTGTATTGAGGCAGCAAGTTTACAACATTTGTAGATCTTCATTAAACACGAATTGGTCTCGATTCGCACAAACCACAACTCTCTACTCGTTACAACCATAGCGCAGCATCTGAACCTAGCGGCTTCGGCATCACATCCCAACCAATCTCGCAACCTTCGACCCGGGCAGTATGTCTGATTGCTGTCATGGGGCCGAAACCCGTCTTTCGAGTCTCGAAAAACTCGCTGGGGACGTCCTCGGGGATCTCGAAGTCACAAACTCCTTCGAATCCGCTTGCCCCAGAATACTGCCCCAGACTTCGCAGGTATTTCATCACGCCCGCAAGGGAAACGTCGACCTTGTACGATCCCCCTGACGTCGCTCTCTTGTATAGAGCTGCGGTGACGCCTGTTGCGAGCATGTACCCGCCAGCATGGTCAAGAGCTTGACAGGGAGTCGGACGGGCAGATTCTCCCTGCCCGGCGTGCTCTGCCTCGGAGACATTCATGCCCGAACAAGTCTGCACCAACGAATCGTAGCCTCGACGGTTGGACCAAGGTCCCTGGGGCCCGAATGCAGACATGTTGGCAATGATGATGGACGGGTTGATCTTCACCAGCGCCTCGGGCGATAGGCCGTAGCTGGCCAGGCTGCCGGGTCGGAATCCCTGAACAAAGACGTCACAGGTCTTGATCAGTTCCAGCAGCCGGGCCTTTTCGGAGGGGTTATGGATGTCCAGTTGGACTGTTCTCTTCCCTCTGCCAAAGTCACGATCCATGGTTGGGAGGTCGGGCAGGTTCGGTGAAGTGACCCAAACAACGTCTGCGCCGTGAGCTGCGAGCGTCTTCCCGCACAAGGGTGCAGCAATTACTCGGCTCATTTCGACGACGCGAAGTCCTTGGAGGCACTTTGCGTTGCCGCTGACCATTCTTCCGGGAAGACCCTTGGGCCCGGCTGATGAGAGTTGAGCAATGTCGATGGGGAAGTCGCTGATGGCTCTCGACTGTGGGAGAGCATCCCATTGGCGATAGGACCTCAGGGCATAGGCCGCCATCTTTCCCTCCACCGTGGCGGCCGTCTCAAGGTCGATGCTGGCCCAATCGGCAACCTTGTCAGATAGTTGCTGTCTGTTCGATCCAACAGGCAAGCCCACCATCTTGAGAATCCCATCAGCGTGGTTGGGGAAGGAATCGTGGATCCGGACATGGCCGTCCGAGGTCTTGTGCAGTCCACCGATGGGACCCCAGGGTGATGGTGTCGGCTTGCCGTTGAGAGTGTAGAGTCTTTCGGACTTGAACTCGACTGTGGCGTGCTGGAGAGGGACCTCAACCTTGGGAACGGCGGCGGCGTTGCGCAGGGCGTGGATCTGTGATGCAGCGAGAGCTGATAACGCGATGGAGCTCTGGGCGAGGATGCCAATCTTGAAAGATGATGGCAAAGTCGGGGTACCACTGTTCTTCAAGTTCACTGAGCCCAAGGAGTTGGAAGGGAGTCCGAGGCCTGCCCAGATCTCCTCTACAACGCCTTGCGCCGTGAGATCCCCTCGCGACACGGACTTGGTCGTTCCGTTGACAGCGCTCTTGAAAGCCTCTGTGACAGGGTGAATCCCATTTGCTGTAACTCCATTGACTGCCTTTGCCGCAGGAACCCGGATGCTAAGAAGAGGTGCGTGCTGCTGAGTCCCGAGGGTATCGCGCTCGCCAACGCTGCCTTGGGCCCATGGGCGTTTGATTGTGCATTTCCAAGCAAGGGCTGGATCAAAGTACATGTTTGTCAAGATGTCGCTGTCCTCGACGCGGTACAGCTTCTTGATCGTATCATTGGTGAAGATATTGGAGTCTTTGACGCGCCTGTAGACGGCAGGGTCGTCAAACATGACATCAAATGTCATCTCAAACGGTCCAGAGTTCTTGGATCGGATGATGCGCGCGACCTCATTGAGCGTGGTCTCCTCTGTAGGCACCATCTTCTTCGTCAAAGGTGCGAGGGTGCCATTGTCGAGTTCACCGAACTTCTCCTGGGAAAGACAGGGTAAAGGAGTTGACGATGACTTGGAAGAGTTGATGGACGTATGCTGCACAGGGAAAATAGACGACTCCTCGCCGACATCCAAGTCCACCAGATGGTACAGGCTGAACTTGAACACAGCACCGGCATCCTGTTCATGTGGTGACAGGGGACTGGCAAAGTTTCCTGTCGTTGCGACTTGATCCGGATACGCAAAATGCAGGATCGAAGCCCGAACGTTGTTCGCGATCGTATGAGAGAGTTCAGACGTGGGTGCAACGACCTCTCCCAGCACAGCAATCTCGTGGGGACGGCCCTGGGCTGGCTCCAGCGGTCCCATCACGCCGTTCTTCCCGTAAACGTGGTACAATAGTTGGCATTGTTTCGTCTTATCGAGCTCCGGGAACAGATTCTGGGAGTACTTGCGGACTCTCTCCAAAAAGTCGTCAATCTGATCGATCAAGATGGGATCCCGGATGCCTCCGATGAAGATTGTACGATAGCCGAGATGCGTGACGCCTTCGAGTTTGACTTGATATGGCGTCGTCTCGAAACGGGCCCCAGATACACGACACGTCTTTGGGGTGACTTGTTCGTACTTGGCATTGTCGAGGTTGAGGATGCCGCCTGGGCCAGGAAGGCGGTCCGGTCTCGTCTTCTCGTAGAGTGTATGCGCTGCCACGGAGAGAGGGGTGCATCGCTCTGATGGTGACAAGGGTGTGAGGTCAAAGGACTCTTGTCTCATGGTTGCGACCATCGATCGTCCCTTGGGTACGGCACAGATGCCACCGCATTCCATGATCTTTCCCATGTGCCATGCAACATCGGGCAACACTCCACGGGAGATTGAAAAAGCAGCAAAGGGTGCAGGGTCATAGGATCTTCCGCCCATGATGATATCCGGATCTCCCTTTAATGCCTCGATATATCTTGAACTCCATGTTAGCCGAGTGTATCAAAATCCCAAATTCAGAAGCAGACTTACGGCTCAGACCCCATTTGTGCAACAATATCTACAGCACCATTCACGACCTCGGATACCAGAGGCTCCACGGGACCACACGGTCCGACTCGATTCTGAGATATCCTCGTCTTGATCCATTCTCGATCCATACCCGCCTGAATCGTTGCAACTTTGAACGAGTACCCATTGCTCTCCGCAATTTCCTTGACCAGATCGAGCATCTCTGCGACGTGCTTATTGCTTCCGTCACCTCCAGCGGAACCAATCAGGACCTTTATCTTGTGGTGATAGCATGCTGCGAGAATGGGCTCGAGGTCTCGCGTGTAAGAGCCGCGACCGCATGTCATTTTGCCCATGCCGAGCTTATACGGTCCGCCATCAGTGGAGCCGCTGTCGACGATGATCGCACTTGGCTTGTACTTGTTGATGCCGTACCAGAAATGATTTGAGTCATAGCCGTAGCCAAGCATGGCATTCGGAGTGAGTATGGTGAACTCATCTGATGGGTTAGAAGTTGCCATGGCGAGAGCGTGTGATGTATGCTTGACAAGCGACGAAGAATGTTGAAATCCTGGCGCACTCAGCAAGATTCTTGGAAGTCGGGCTAATCGGGTTCTTTTTGACCTGTCAAGTTAAAGCCGCGACTTGAAGACCAATTGTGCGAAATCGGGTAAAGCTCATGAATGCCGTCTTTCGGAGGCTCTCCGATGTCCTCGGTCAGTCTCCTGGAAAATATGACGTTCTTTCTTGGCTTTCCATTCGCCCGCCCGAGAGCTCAGTTTATTCTGCAAAAGTCTGTGTTACGAATCCATTCGGAATCATACACCGCAAGCTCGGTAAGCTCGTCCGATCTGCGGGGTTCTCCTCGGCATCTCCTCCTTCACCTTTCGGAATCCGGTTTACCTTTAGTTGTTCGGTATCTTCCATAGACACATTTCTTTGGCCAAAATTTTCTTGCCGCTAGGCCACACCACCTGTATCACAATAAATTACTCGGCATTGATACCGAGATCTGGTGTGATGGCTATCTTAGTCTACCCATCTAGTCTGAGTTGGCTGGAGCTTTCGGCGGGGGAGTCTTCCCCGTGGGGTAGGCAAACCTCTCTTCCAGATCTCTAACTGGTATTTTGGTCCACTCGAAACAGGTTCATCATGAGTGGAATAAGTTGAACATAAGTCCATTGTGGTCCCCTACGAACGGTTGCGAAAAGCCATCCACAAGAAGCCCAAGCTGTAACTTTGGGAACCCCTTCCTCGGCCGTACCGATTCTTGTCAATTCGTCCGAGAGTTCTTTCCCAGGTTCTTTACTAGACTTTGTCCTTACAATGTCGACCATGCGCCAAGAGGCGAAGCATGATCCAACCCACGTCGAAAACGCCAAGCCGTCTTCCGGCGGTCAGATGGAAGAAATCGATGTTATTGAAGACCTGAAGTCGGCAGGTGGAACAGCCACGGTCACTTGGACCAGTGAGGAAGAAGGGTCTGCCTTGAGAAAGCTCGATTGGAGTCTGATACCTCTGTGAGTACTCTTGGCCGTGGGAATGCTCTGGGCGTCTTCTCGCCTAGGACGTTGCATTGAGCCGGTTTCTGTTTACTGACAACATTGTCTACGTAGGCTCGGAGCACTCAATTTCTGCTCCTATATTGATCGCGGCAATGTCGGAAACGCATACACTGCTGGCATGGGGAAAGACTGGGGTATCACTTCGGACGATTACTCTTGGATCGTGACCGTTCTATACATTGGCTACATCTTGTTTCATTGGGTGAGGCTCTCTCTGCAGACTCTTCAGTCTCTGGCTTCTTGTCGCTGACAGCCCCATCCCCAGTTGATTATCGTCTGGACCTTCGTTCCCTTGCCATTATGGACTGCAATGATGGTCTCTGGATGGGGCGCCATGAGCATGCTTCAAGCAGTCACAACCAATCTCGCAGGCATGATGGCTTTGCGGTTCTTGATTGGAGCCTTTGAGGCCGGATTTATCCCAGCTGTCGCTCTATATCTGACCTTCTTCTACCATCGTGGTGAAATGGGTCTCCGATACGGGCTTTTCATTTCATTTGCACCGCTTGCGAGCTGTGTTGCCTCTGCAATTGCTTACGGCCTGCTGCACGTGAAGGC